TCTATAGACAGAGTAGACTGTGCCCTGGCACCCACCCAGACTTCTAATCTGAATATCCAAATTTGAATCCCGAAAGGGGACCAGTAGGTCACAAGAATAAGACACATGCCAGGGTTCCCAGAGGCACAGGGTGTTTGCAGGTTGGACACAATAAAATATTGTTTACTTCCACAAAGAAACAGTCTCTTCTACATTTTTTCTTGAAACTCAAGGGCATTTCTGGCTAATTTATGTTTTCCCATTTCAGTCCAGACACACGGTTTGGAGAAACAGTTCCCTTTCCTCTTATCATGACTACAGGAAATTCAAAGGTTGAAGCACAAGGGTAAATGGTAACTGATGCCAACTTCGGTATGAGGGAGACAATGAGGAGGAGTGGGGACTGTGGCAAACAGGAGACCACAACTAGGAAACAGGGACCTAGGATTACCAGACTGTCCATATTTTAAATAAACAGGAAATTCAGATTTTCTTCATGAAAATTCTCCATTTAAAAACCCCTATGTGAATTGAACCCATCATATCAGAGTGCTGGATTCAGCCTCTGGGCCACCAGTTTGCAACCCCTGATCTAATCCACATGTGCTTAACAGGCGCTTTCCCTCATCATCCTCTGCCCACTCAAGCAAAGTCCCTAGGCGTGAGAAAGTGCTGGCTTCCTTTATTTCCTTCCATGTAGGCCATTAACCCCATCTGTGGGCAAATCTGTCCCGCGTTCCAGCACAGGAACCAAATGGAATTCTCAGAGTCTGGTCAGGAATTCACCCTTGGGTGGGTATCAGGAGTCAGCCATTCAGGAGGGCCCTGGGCTCCCCTCCCTCCTAAATCACAGGGCACCCAAGAGGCAAACATCTCTCTCTCTCTCTCTCTCTCTCTCTCTCTCTCTCCCTGCCATCTTGAAGCAGCTTCTGGAGATCCTGCCTGAAACTTCCCCCAAAAGACGAAGTTCAAACCAGAAAAAGAGAGAAAGTAAAACACAAAAAGCTGGTTCGACAGAAAAACCCAAAGGCACTAGAAATAGTAAAATGCTCACCTGCCGACTCATCTCAACGTGCCGCCCTTCAGCGGCTCCTCGATCAGGGGAGACAGTGCAAAGTCCCAACACGGTTTCTGCCCCCTCACGAGCCCCGCCTCTCACAGCTCCCCCTTCTCCCTGCTGCTTGCTCTTCTATCCTGGTGATCACCCTGCTTCATCCCACCCCAGGATCTTTGCCAGTTGTTTCCTCTGCCTGGGATGTCTTCCTCCTACCTCTCAGCCTGGTCAACTTCTATTCATGCTTCAGAGCTCAGCCTAAAATGATGCTGCCTCAGGGAAGCCCTCCCTGAACACTCCAAGACAAAGTGGGGTCCCTCTGCTAATTGCCCTCCTGGACCTCTGTGCTTCCTCTTCCCTGCCCATTCCTAAGGGGTTACCACTCGGGTCTCAAGCTTTCTTGGAGAGGCCTTCCCCACCCCATGTCTCCCAGACACAAAGACACCCTCTATCACATCACCCATGCCCATGTTCTCCATGGCATTCATCACAATTTAGAGGTTTTGTATGTTATGTGTTTACTGTCTGACAGTCGGGCCATGAGAGTGGGAGCCCTTGTGTGTTTCACTACCCGCACACGGCAGGGGTTCAAGGTGTTGAACGAGGAAGGCCCACTTCCCTAAGAACCCCAGGACACCCCTAGGACTGGAGCTAGCTGGTCTGAGACTCCTACTGCTCCATTTAAAAGCCCAAAGTGGCCCTAGGACAGAGGCTGGTACAGGAGGCACTGGCTGCCCAGACCTGTTCCCAAACCAGACTTTCTCTTTCCAGTTCATTTGCCCATCTGCAAACAGCTTCAGCGCGAGGAACTGCTAAGGAATGAAGCTTTAAGTACAGGCTGCAAGTGACTCCACACTGGCAGTTTTTGCTTCTTTGGGTAAATAAACTTCCTCAAGAGCTCTAAGTGGCTTTATTGCCCCGTGGAGCTACAGCGAGTTCGGCTCTTCATTACGGCCATTACTAACGAGCGTGAGCCAGCCTGCGTCTGAGTTAGAGAGAGCCCTGAGTGAGCAAATGAAGTTAATACATGCAGCTTCTCCTGAAGGCTGTCCCTAGTCAAGACAAGATGAGGCTGGGTTGAGCCGCTGGACACAGTGACACCTTGCTGCTGAGAGCAAGGGGGAGAAAGAACACGAAAGACGCTCAGGTTACTTAAACCGTTAAGCAGGTACCCAACCTAAATGCCCATCCCTGGGGGTGTGGTTCAGAAATTACAGGACATTCATAGGATGTTGCTTATTCGGTGAGGGCCTCAGTTTTCAGTTATGAAGTTGACATAACATCCTAGCCACTGGGTCACTGCCAGGATGCAATGACATAATCCATGGACAGAGTGCAGCACGCTGCTGGCACATAGTATGTGCTCAGAAAATAGGAGGAATTATTCTGAAATGGTGGGACACGAAGAAGCCAAGGAATGATGAAGACCTACACTCTCTGATGCAGAAGCCGCCAGCGTCTTATGACTATTAAGTGCTTAAAACGTGGCTGGTCCACACTGAGATGTGCTGTAAGTTCAATCATCCAAGCCTGATTTAGAAAACTTACTTCAGGACTTCCCTGGTGGTGCAGTGTTTAAGAATGCGCCTGCCAGTACAGGGGACACGGGTTCGAGGCCTGGTCCAGCAAGACCCCACATGCTGCGGAGCAACTAAGCCCGTGCACCACAACTACTGAGCCTGCACTCTAGAGCCCGCAAGCCACAACTACTGGGCCCATATGCCACAACAACTGAAGCCCTTGTGCCTAGAGCCCATGCTCCGCAACAAGAGAAGCCACCGCAATGACAAGCCCGCACATGCACGGCAGCGAAGAGTAACCCCCGCTCGCCATAACTAGAAAAAGCCTGCACGCAGCAACAAAGACCCAATGCAGCCAAAAATAAATAAATTTATATATATGTAAAAGAAGGAATCACTATATGAAAAAAAGAAAACTTACTTCAAAGAATGCAAAAATCTCCTTAAATTTTTTTACGTTGATGATATGTTGAAAGGATATTTTGGAGACACTTATTTTAAATACATTGAAACTTGTAGATCTAAATCTTATAGTGTTTAATGTCAATTAAATCTCAATAAAACTGGAAAAAATTAAATATATTGAAACTAATTTCATCTGTTTCTTTTTCCTTTTTTACATGGCTCCTAGAACATTTAAAATTATAGATGGGGGACTTCTCTGGTGGTCCAGTGGTTAAGACTCCAAGCTCCCAATGCAGGGGGCATGGGTTCAATCCCTGGTCGGGCAACTAAGACCCCAGATGCCACGTGGTGTGGCCAAAAAAAGAAAAAGAAAAAGAAAAAGAAAATTACATGGACGGCTCACATCTTTGGCTCAAATTATATTTCAATTGGACAGCTCTTATACATACATTCTGACATGGAAATATGTCCATACTATTTTTTTAAATTGAGATATAACTCACATACCATAAAATTTACTCTTTTAAAGTGTACGATTCTGTGGTTTTCAGTGAATTCACAAAGTTTTTCAACCATCAGCACTAATTCCAGAACTATTTCATCACTCTGAAAAGAAGCCCTGTGCCTTACCATTAAGTCACTCTCCATTTGTCCATGCTACTTTGAATAAAGAAAAGCAAGTTACAGAACATTATTCTAGTATCACGTGGGTTTTTTTGGTAAAAACTAATTATGTATAATTATTAATATATATGCATACCTACATTTGTAAATGCATTTTTAATATGTTTGGAATGATGTACACCAAACTGTGAAAGATGGTTATCTCTGGGAACTAGAATTGAGGTGAGAGAGAAAAAGGAGAGGGTGCTTACCCTTTATTTTAAATACTTCTGTACTGCTTCTGAGATTTAAAGAGAGAATGGCTTGACTTTCTGGCCCTACATAACTCCTGGTGAACTTCGGTAAATAACTTTCATGGCACTGTCAACATACTGGCTTCAGCTGGAAGATAAAGAGGCTAGTTTTAGATCTACTTTTTGTTCTGTGCTTTTAAAATAGAAAGTACAGCCAGAGATGAGGTATTTTCCCTCCTAGCAACAGAAGCGTACCGAGGCCGGCAGCATCCTCGCACAGACGCAGCCTGCCCGCCTCCTCCCGGCATGTAGCATCATCTCAGAGCAGAACAGGCCGAGCGCCCGGGCAGGGGCAGGACCGCGGGTCAGCCTCCCCCGGGGCCCAGGCTGGCAAAGGGCAGCAGCTCCGAGCGCGCCTCAGTCTGGCATCCCGTTGGATGCTGGGGCGGGGGGGGGGGGGGCCCGCGGGGGGGTGGGGCCCACGTACCGCAATTAAAAAAAAAAAAAAAGGGAATCTGTGACTTCTAAAGATATATACTAAAATATCTACTAATGTTATGTCTGGAATTCACTTCAAAATGCTATGGAAGAAAGGCAACTGGTGGGGAAAAGGAAATAAGAGTGGCCATGAGTTGATAATTATCAAAGCTGGGTGGTGGGAACATGGAAGTTCATTATAAAATTCTCTATTTTTTATAGGCTTAAAATTTTCCATAATAAAGTGATAAAAAAGTATGCACTTGCATCAACATGCATAAACAAATACCACACTATGACATTTAAGAGTGGGCTTAATAAAAGCAAATAATTACAAGCAAGATGAAGACCATAAGGATTTGAATGTTTTATTGTCTAAAGGGGGGGGGGGGGGGGGGCGTCTCAGGTAGGGATGGGAAGCGAGTCTGGGCCCCCGAGAACCGGGGCTGGAGGAGGGGGCGGGCGCGACCTGACGCGCATCTCTGCGCGACGCCAGCCAGCCACCGCTCCGCAAAGGAGGGACCCCTCGGACCCCCAGCGCGGGTCCGGAGTCCCAGCGCCAGGTACGAGAGAATGCTGCGGGGAAGCCGAGGGTCCGGGTCTAGCGCGCAAGGGGTCTCCATTCGTCCACTCCTCCCCGGGGGAGCGCGAGCCCTGGATCCCACAACCCCAAGACCCGCCTCCCCTACTTCCAACCCCGTCCCCTACCTCGGCCCCGGGCTCGGGGGTCAGGAAGAGCGCGAGCTCGCGCGCCCCGCTGCGCACGGGCTCCGGCCGATCGGCGTCCACGAGCAGCATGAGGAGCGCGGCAGAGTCCACTTGGCGGCGGCTCCCCGGGAACCCGACGCCGCGTCCTGGCCTCGGAGCCCCGCCCCCGACCGGCTGCATGCCCCGTGGCCCGCCTGGCGGAGGCGGGGCAGGAGCGCACCCAGTGGCCGCGGCCCACGCCTCCCGGAACGCCGGGCCGAGCGGGCAGCGCCACCCAGTGGCGCGCGACGCTCACTACGCCCGGCCCCCGCACCACCTGGTAAACGATTCTCAAACTCGCTTTCAGATTGCAATCACCTGGGGCTCCTTCAAAACTTCCGAAGTCTGACGGCCACACACAACCTTTAGGGTTGGAACCTGGGCATCAGTACTTTTTATGTTCTCCAGGTGATTCTTACATAGAGCCAAGTTTGAAAACCATCGGTATAGACCACCTCTTTTCATTGGAATCCGGTGGAGCAGCGGTTCCAGCTCCCACAGCACTTTAGAATGCCCCGGGGAGTTTCTAAAAGCCCGGAAGCCAGGCCCCACCCCAGGCCGATTCAGCCGGAATCCCTGGGGGTGGGGCTTGGGCATCAGTTGTTTGTAAAGCTCCCCGGGTGGTTCCAGCGTGCATTCAGGATAGAGAACAGATATCTTAGAGGATCCTTTCATTTAAAGACCACCCCTCCCCGCCATCACCCCGCCCACAAGGCCTCTCCTAGGACAGCATCTTGTTTGCGCCAGGCGGAAAGTCCGAAAAATTAGGGAGGTCGGGCGTAGCGATCCTCTTCCTCCCAGGGGCAGCCTTAAAAATAAGCTCCCCAGGGAATTCTACAGCGCACTAAATTGGACACAGCCCCGCACCCCTAGGAAGCTAGTCTAGACCTCTTAGAGGCTGAAGAGGGTGGGGTCCAAAGCAATGCTAGTGAGGAGAGTTCTGAAAAAGGTAACGAGGTATATAGGGAAGTCTAGGGGTCTCATTTTTCCTATGATGTCTTTTAAAATGTTAAATTCGTTTTTAAAAATCGGGCTGCGCTTAGGGCTGCAAATAAATATACAGGACTCCCCTCACCCTCGTCCTGTTAAATCTTAATTTATATTTTATCTGACAACCCTAGGTAGGGGGCGTGAGCACATGCTTGATCTGTCTTTTGGGTAATCCATCACTGTACAGTTCCCACTTCCACAGCTTCCCACTGCTAATTTCTCGACATCGCCGCCCAAACATTCAGGCCTTCAGGCCAGAGTAATTTTCTGGAAAATTCTTGGCAAAGACTTGGGCCTCAGGTGCTAAGGAAAAGGATTTAATAGGAACTCACTGAACCCGCACGTGGCTATGCATTACTATGCTGATGCGTCTGATGCTCAGAGCCCTTCTGTATCCCACACGCACCCAGAAACGCAGCTCCGACCCTCACCCTTACCGGCTGACTGGGGCCCTCCCTCGGAAAAGCCTAGAACCGGCCTCAGATTAGCCACAGTCCTGAGCACAGCAAACTTCCCCTGACGGACGAATTTCAGAAACATAATGCTAAGAAAAAAAGGCAAATCGTGAAGGCTCTGTAGGGCACGCTGCCACTAACATAAAGGTTTTAACACATGTGAAACCGCACTATATATTGTTTATGGATACAGACATATGGAGTAAAAGTGTAAAGCCGTGCGTGGGAGTGATGTACACCGCATTCAGGAAACTGGTTACTCTGGGGTGGGGGAGAGGAAACGGGGGAGGGATACAGGAGGGGTTTCAATTATATTTGTAACGTTTTATTTCTTCTGTTGATGTTTGTTATAGTATTTAAACTTTTAAAATGCCTAATATGACTCACTAGGAAAAAAACAAAAACCAACAAAACCCTGGGATATTAGCTAAAAGTGCTGCCCCGACCCGCTTTCCCTGGAGATGGGGGGTCTGGGAAAGAGATCCTCGCTCTTCACCAGCCTCTCCGCGATTCATACCCTGGGCCACGCTGGCTAGCCAAGAGTCATTTTGTTTCTAGTCTTCTTTTCTAAATGTAATGATGCCTTAGAAACATTTTGCTTAGAACACGGATGCCCGGAAGCCCACCCCCACCTTTTCGGAATCGCAGTCTTTGGGGCGAAAGGGAGCTGGGAGCAGCTTTTAAAGCTCTGCCGTTGACTGTGATGCACGCAGCACCCCGCAGGCTGAGAAGAGCCCCTCTCCGGTTAGTCCAGCTGGCTGTAGCCAGGGACCCCCGTGGGAGGCCGAATTAACGATTTTAAACAAAGAAGATGAATTTTTAAACAGCCTCCCCGGCCTCTCACAGGCGCTTGGGGTGACCCAGGGGCAGGCGGCAAGCCCGAGGCCTGGAATGCAGCCCGCCTGGGCCGCACCCTGCCCAAACCAGTTTGAACCAGCTGTGGGGATGGAGCCGTGGCGCGTCCCCACGAGCTCCCTCTGGCGCCCAAGACGGGCTCAGAGCGGCTGCTGCGGCCTCCTGCTCGGGAGTCCTCCGCGGGGCCAGGCAGCCGGCTCCCTCCCAGCCGGAGGTCGGGGCGCCCGTGGCCGCCTGGCCCCGAAGACCCCCCGGGAGCCGCAGTGGCCCCCGGCTGGGCCCCGAGGCCACACAGCCTTCCACCCCCGCACCCCCGTCCCACCTGGCTTCACCTCCAGCTACAAAATGGTTGCCTGTCTGTGTCTTTTCAAGGTCACCGCTGCTAGCTCAGGCCTCAGGCACACAGGGTTCTAGGCGCGCATCGTTCCCAAGCTCTGCTGCTCCTTGGAAACTTCCAGAAAATACTGACGCCGAGACCACTCCCCAGTGATTGGGATTTAATTGGTCGGGGGCGTGGCCTCGGTTGGGGAGATTGAAAGGATGCCCCAGGTGATTCTGATCTGTGCAGCTCCAAAGCTGCTTAACTCCGCGGGCCGTTTCTAAGGCCCGTTGGTCTCATTGGGAACGTGTCCTGAAAGCTTACTAAGTGCAAGGCTCTGTTCAAAACTCTTCACAGAGACTCCGGCCGTGAATCTCCTCCGTACCCTGTGAGGCAGGGAGGCTCTGCTGATGCCCCTTTTAGAGATGAGGAAACTGAGACACGGAGAGGTTAAGTCACTTGCCAGGGATTATAATCAGTCAAGGGAAGAACCCAGGTTCTTACCTGCTACTCACACCACACTGCCTGTTTCAGGGAAGCCTGGCACTGGGAAAGCTGGTGGCTGCCCTGCCCCTCTGCCAGCCCCCCCTTTTCACTGCCCTCCCAAAGCACCTGTAGCCACCTCTCTTCCTGCTCTTAATTCCCCAGTACTCACCAAGTGAAGTTCAAACACCTCCACCCCCCAAACCTCCCTTGCCAATCTGTCTACTGCTTTTCTCTTTGAACCCTAAGATGCAAATGGGAGCCCACAGAGCAGAGCCAGGGCCCGGAGGAGGTGAGAGAGACATTTGGAGTACAAACTCTTAAGGGGGTCTCCCGGTCAGGATCGGCCCCAGGGAGTGAGGGTCTCCTTTCGTTGTGTGCCCTGGGCATCTTGCCTGCCTCACCTGAGTCCTGGCCCTGCCACACAGCCTGCCATTATAGACCAAAGGTTTGTGTTCCCCCAAGTTCATACATTGAAATCCTAAACCCAAGGTGATGGTCTCAGAAGGTGGGGCCTCGTGAATGGAATTACTGCTCTTACAGAGGTGACCCAAGAAGACCGAGCTGGGGTGTCTAGTCCACAGGAAGATCTGTGCCCCCATCACCTTCACAAAGGTTAACTCGAAGACAAAGGAGCTCTGCAGAAAAAAATATATATATATACATATATATTTATATAAAAGAAAAATATAAATATAAAAAATATATACATATAAAAGAAAAATTGTTTAAATTTAAGAGACCCCAGGAGAACTCCCCTGCCCTTGCCACCGTGTGAGGACATGCGGAGGAGTGAGCTGCCCGCACTCCGGAAGCAGGCCTTCACCAGAACCTGACCCTGCCAGCACCCTGATCTTGGGCTTACAACCTCCCGATCTGTGAGAAATAACTGTCTGCTGTTCATAAGCCACGCAGGCTATGGGGTTTTGTTACTGCGCGGCCCAAACGAAGGCATCTGTAGGTGTGTTAGGTTTGCACAACGTCGTGCTTAAATACCTGCATCTTTCAATGTGGTACCTTTTACAGTTCACACATTCAACTGTGGCTTCTCTTGAAAAGAAAGGTAAGCTCAGGAAACCGTGGGCCTGCCCTGCGGCAATTAGGAGCTGCCCCAGTTTGCAGTCTCCCCAGCCCCTCTCTGACCTCATGGTCTGTGAAAGTGTCTGGGTGTTGCTTCCGGGGTCCCCTGAATATGCCCCAAGTCTGCCGGGCTCCACATGGACATCCAGCGTTTCCGTCTGCCCCTGGGCCCACTGCCCTCCCTGCCTTCCACCCAGCCTTCAAGGTCACTCTTCCAGGGCCCTTTTTCTGACCCCCAAAGAGATGAGCCCTTTAAGCTTACCTTCTGATACCTTCTACCTTCGGCTAAGTTGAAAGTAAGGCCACCATCAGACAGAAAGTTCCTGGAGGACAGAACACACGTCTCGGGCGTTTTGGGGGGATTGCTGTAAGAGTCCAGTGGCTGCCTTTGCACCTAGAAGTCAGTCCTCAATAAACACATTCATCTAAAATTTGGAGTCACTTTCCTGCTTAGTGTCTCTGTTTCGCCACTGGCAAAATGATTTAGAACACCACCCCTCTTGACAGAAGCATGGTGAAAACCCAGGTTTTAAAAGCATTTTCCTATCACAGTTTTGAAATGATCTCTGTATGGTAATAGGAGATAGCACATCCCATTTGTTCCCTGTAAAAGAAAAGCTTCTGATTCTCCTCAGGCATTTGATCCGTTTTTCTCTGCGCCTTTTCTTTCCACAACAGAGCTGCACAAAGGGGCTCGTAGCTTTGGAGGCAAGAGGCCAAGCGTCGAGACTCAAAGTGCTCCCTTATGTGTCGACGTTTGGCTTTCCAGCTAGAGCTGCCCCGGTCCTGGAAAGTGAGGGGAGGATCCTGGGTTTAGAGGAAAGAGGCATTTCCTTCCCCCTCCAGCTCCTGAAAAGTGGGTCCCAGGCTGTTTGTTTTGCCTCCATTTAAACAGACGCTGGAGGGATATGACCCTGCCTAGCAAGGTGTGAAGTGGCCGGGCTTTGGGACCCAGGTGGGAGCTTAGCGCCTTCTGTAAATTCTCCTGCAGGCTCCAGCGGTCCTGGGCCCACCAACCCTAATGCAAAACCCTTGGGGCCAGACATGTTTCAG